AATTGTAAAATCAGTTTTCTTTATCCTTGGAATTTTATATAAAAAAAAAATTTTTATGATGAAATTGTAGAAAATGTACATTTTGTTGATTGCGATATTGATCTTTTTTTCTTTTTCTTATTAAATCCTCTTAATGTCGCAATCATAGCAGCTAAAGTTGTCCGTTCATCAATATTATACACCCATGACTTAGTTATTTTAGATATCAGAGGTTTATGTAAATTTTTTGGCAAACTTTCAAACCCTTTTTTATGTCTCAAATGTTCATATAAATGCTCAATTTCTATTTTCTCATATGGCAAAGCTCCTGTTGCATTAAATATTTCCCAAAGTAACATCCCCAAACTATAATAATCTGATTCAAATGTGCAATTATGCTTTTCATTTCTTAAACGTTGTGGTTCATGCCATCTTTTCCTGACTTGATTGTCAATACTTTTTGGTAAACATGGTTTAACAGTTGTGTGCTTATTCAATGTATCTACACTGTATAAAAAATTGGAAATTTTTGGCTTTATAAATTCACTCTCGAATCTATTTTTAAACAGATATATATTGCTACTTCTCAAGTCTAAATGCAGAATGTGTCTCTTATAATTTTTTAAAAAAGAAATTGGTAGAGAATTAAAGAAATGCTTATATAATGAGAAAAAATAGAGTTATAAATAGCTTGTAAACTTACCTCATGTAGAAATTCAAGTCCAAAACATATATCTAATGACAAACTTATTTTGGCATCTAAATCCAATTTTTCATTTTCAGGCAAATTTTGGTTGTTTTTTAAATACTCATATAAATTTCCATAGTTAGCATATTCATAATGAAGTATTGGTTTGAATTTGTCTACAGTGAACCCTAGAAATTTTAAAATATAATCTGAGTCATTCAAATGTTGTTCGCTATACATATAAATTTCCTTCTCTATGCAATCTACATTATCTTCTTCATTGAAACATTTAGAATCTAACTCTTTTCCAAAAACTGGAATATTTCCTTTTAACCTTCTATTTTTTATCACTAAAATATCATTAAAGATTTTTTTATATTCATCATTGTTCTCCCCATC